AACGTGGCAAACATGTGGCGCCTTCGCAGTTCGGGGTGTTCCAGTAAACCTGCAACAGTCGGTAAACAAGCAAATCACTATTTTAGAGAAAGTCCTTTGCTATAACCATCATCAAATAAGAACTGATGATCATTCAAGACCTTGGAAGGCCCTCGAGACTGCAACACAGCATCCAGAGATGTATTGGACACCTTCCGCCGTTTGTTTTTCGTGTTTGATGTTTTCTCGACCGACTCGACCGACCTGGCTCGAGGTAGTGGCATCTACGTGAGTGTGGATTATGCAGGGCTGCTCAGGAAGCGCTCGCTCTGTGTGGGTCGTGCTCCACCGAAAAGCTCAACCGCCTTCCGTTCAGTCGGAACGGAGCTACGAGTCGGACCCGAGCGTCGAGCGGGAGACGGGTTCCGAGGTTTTGAACGGGGAGCAGAAGACTGGGGGGTCCACCCCCAGGAGCGGAGGTTTGGAACGGGTTGAACGGGTGGCAAGACCCGTGTGAAACACTTCATCAGATTTTGGGAAAGCAAGATGTGTAGCAGTTTGAGGATCCATGAGCCGTTGGGAAGAAGCTATTGGGTAGAAGTAGAGTGCACTTGTAAGGTGCAGCCGATGTGTTTTACCCATCCTGACATGACATGCTTTATTTGATTTTATTTGTTCTATCGTTGTTGCTCATGTTCAACCATAGTCTACTTGAACAGTTCGGACAGGACACAGTTAAGAAATGTGAAGTAACAACCAAGCAGAATGCAGTCCATCAATTGATCATATTTCCCTCAGCAATGCTGGTTTCTCACTGATGTGTTCCATGTTCAATTCTTGAGGCCTTGGCCTTGGATTGCTTGCCACAGGGCAAGACCACTGCAGAGGCCTTCGGCCTCTGGGGCGTTGCAGGCACCGGACCCGACGGCACGGGAAACCCCCTGGACGAGAGTCGAGAGTGCGAGGGTTACGCATCTACTGCTGGTGTGTTGGACTTGTAGGAATTGAATGTAGACTCTTAGGTGAGTATAAACCTTCTCATTTTAGACTCTTGGTTTTTACAATGAGCGGATTTATGAGAGTCTCAGAGTCTACATTACTCCTGGCTTCTTTCCTAGCCTCTTGAGGGGAACTGTCCAGCTGAGCAAAGTCCTTGCGAGTCAGACACGAGAGGATCTCGGGACGTGCCCGCAGACACGAGCCCTTCGACAGCAAGTGCCTGTTCATAGACAGCATATTGATGGATATTGGCTCCTGATTTGGCTAGGACAACTCTTTGGGGACCAGGTCTGCCGTTCCTAAATTGGCTCTTCGAACGAAACAGACAATCGACCGGTCACTCAAAGGCTGAACTTCGATCCATGTCAAAACTATGGTCCAAGAAATGCCTGGAATTTGGGCCCACACTGAATCAAAAGGGACGAGACAAGGACTAAACATGGCAGGAAAGACCCGGAGAAGGAAACAACCATAGACAACCTATCCATAGCAACCCATTGCTTGAACCGAACCAGGCTTTCCCAATTTAAGGGAGGCCCCGGGCTGCTCCTTTTAAACCGAATCATCCATATTCATCCATTCAAGATCATTCAAATCTAGGAGAGCATAGAAGCATATAGGAGCATATAGGAGCACTAGCCGCACCTTTACTTAGCTACTTTGCTGCAGCTACCGCGGTAGCGAGCGCAGCAAACGGGCGCACGGGAGGCTTTCTGGGCTGCACGCTGGGGCCAATCGTCTCTGGACTTTTACTGGTGAGGATCCTTAGAGCCGTGGGGCCGATCGTAAGAGCCTGCAGAGCCTGTCGGTCAACCGGAAGACCTGCCTTTTGTATTGGCTTGGCTTTCATTGTGTTTGTAGGGATCTTCAGAAGCTTTTTTGTTGAAGGCAGCTGGTCATGTTTTGAGATATTTGTTTGTGAGTTTGGAGAGTCCAGGGTGTTCCATCAACATTCTGAGGATGTGGATGGATCCATATATTCAGATTATTCAGGGTGCGAGAAGACCCAGAGCGTTCAGCTTTTAGCAGACCCCAAGATTGATCAAATTGCTGGCCATAGAGGGACATTCAATGTCTCAGCGACCTGCATTACTTACACCCACTTCACTTGAGTTTGGTTCAAGATGACCAATGCAGCATACGGCAGATGAACCATTCTGTTCAGTGGACCATTGTCTCAGTGGACCATTCTGTTCAGGTTTACTCAGAGTGCACTGACCCGCCTTTGAGTATGTGTTTGTCTTGCTTCTTAGGCCAGTGTACCGATTGAAAATTGTTGAGACGGACACATCTTTGCGGAAGGCGCAATTTCAACCACAAACAGACAGATGTCCACAAATTCTCTTCCGCTTCCCATTTTACTTAGTAGGCGGGTGACGGTGTGTGTTGATTCATGTTCATGAACATTCACCATGTTCTTCAAACCATTTTGTGGCGAGTCGAATGTGTATGTGTGTGTGTGTGTGTTTTAATGACAATTCACCATATTCATCAAACCTCCCAACACCTCCCAACTGGATCCCTGTCTCGATCCAATCCAAACCGCTCACACCAAACCTCCCAGCACCACATGTGGATCTCTGGCGCGAATACACGACTGGACAGGTGGATGGGGTATTGGCTTCAAATTCGGACCCCAAGACCCGCTGGAAAGAAAATCCACCAACGATAGAGCACTAGTACCACCCTTAGAGCCCTTTGGCTTTGACACCCTGTAGTTCGGTCAGATATTCAAACACCCTTAGAGCATCTTAGAGCCCTATGGCTCTGACAGAATGTCCTTCTCGTTTGGTGTTTGGCCAGGCTGCCAATCAAGTCAGCAGCCACCACACGTCGCTGGAATGCACGGGCGGAGCAGAACTCAAGAGTGGATATGATTCCAACACCAATTGGTACTCTTTTTTGTTTCGGGGAACTCACTTGGTTGAGCTTGCTTTCTTTTGCACGTTATTGTTGTTGTTGTTGTTGGTGGTGGTGGTTTTTTGTTTATTGTTGTTGTTGTTGTCGTTGTTGTTGGTAGAAACAAAAACCACCGCCCAACATAATTGTCACATGTTGTAACTTTGGAACTTCAAGGGGACAAGGTTAGGGATACGGTTGAAGGTTTGTGCGAATGTTGGCTTAAGTAGGTGGACTTGTTGGCCTTGCTTTACTGAAATGTGGGCTGGTCCATTTTTAGTGTTTTTGAAGTGTTGTTCTGGAGGGAGGGGTCCAAAATACAACATGGGGCTGCAGTCTTCGTTTCGAGAAGGGGTAGAGACAACAACACCTTTCGTGAGGGGGAGTCCAAAATACAACAGCGGGGCTGCGGTTTTTGTTTCTAGGATGTGGTAGAGTTTCTAAGTAGAAGTTATACAGAGGTTTAGCTGACCGGATAATACTACTACTGCTACTAATAATCATAATGCAAATTACTACTCTACGACGGCTACTGCTACTACTACTACTACTACTACTGCTACTACCAGTGCTACTACTATAGTACTAGTACCACTTGTATTAGCACTAGTACAAACACTATACCAGTAGTGGAACTGTACTTGTTGGCTTGTTGCTTTTTTTGGGGTCAAAGAACAACAACGGGGCTGCAGTTGTTGTTTCCACCCCCTTGTAGAGACAAAGGAAGAAGATATGTTGTAACGGGGCTGCAGTTTTTGTTTGTACCTTGTTGTTGTTGTTGTTGTTGAACGGGAGCGGGAGCGGGAGCGGGAGCGGGACCGTTGTTGCTCAGTTTTTCGGCTTTTTCCTTTCGCCGGATCTCATGTGCCACGAGGAGCATGACACCTAAAACACATGTTTCACCATAGGGGGAAGGGAGCGTTAGCAGCGTCACCAAGAGCGTCACTGTTTCTTTGTGCTGCCCAAACGCGATCTGTCTGAGACTGCAAATATTGCCTACAGTCACCACCCAAAACCACCAATTCTAGGAGAGGTCACGTCCAGTGCTTGAACCCAGGAATTCCTTCGTCTCACACTACGCCTACCACGGCTACGTGATCGTCATGCTAACCGTGGGCGTTGCTGGGCCCAAACGGCCTGTGAACGGCCTACGCGGTGGTCGTCCGTTAGGGGCAAGTTGCTGCCAGGACCCACCCAGTGATGCGATTGTTTGGGTATAGTTTGCCACACATTTAGTTCAATGTACTGAACATAGTACTGAACATGTCTAGTTGGGAATCCAGTTCATGATGTTGTCTTCAGAACCCCAACGTTGTGCATTTGTTGTGGTGGAAACTGCTTTGGGGCCAGTGTTAGTATTTTTCACAACGACTGAGGTCTTCATGAATGTGTTCGTGCTTGGTGCGACATATTTGATCAAAGGCACCCAATGAGCGTGGAACAAAGAAAGTTCTGAGCACCAGATTGAACTGGTGAAGAAAAAGACGCGACAAAATGCGTGACTTGCACCGGTGAACGATTGCGGACATGTTTTTTGGAGAGAAAACATATTTTTGAATGCCGGTAGGAACTTTGAATGGATAGCATTCAGATAGCACTTTCACCAAAGGTTTGACCCAGGGAAAACATCTTCTATACAGGGTTATCGAAGTATATCAACTTAAACAACAAAATAGTTAAATGGTCATTACAATATAAGTGATAAACGACTACAAAGTCCAGCTCATTCATCAGCGCCGTTTTGACGCCACCTTTATGCACGAATGCATGAAAAACAGGAATGGGCTAAAGCGGCTAACTAGCTTACGAGGGAAGTAGCAGGAGGGTCGCAGCTGGGGGCATCCAGATTCCATGTGCAGTCACAGTCGTCACGAAGACGGAGTTTTCACAACATGTTTTTACACATGAGAGACATGAGTGGATCATGCATGCAGCACGATTCTTGACGCAAATTTAAGAGAGGCTAAGTGACCGTGACCTGAAAAAGGATCCGTAACCTGGGGTACCCAACTGGTATAGTCGAACTTGGGTTCTTCGACCTTCGCCGGAAGCTAAGCGCGCCTTTGTGCCAGGGGCCTCCTTGAGAGTTCGACCCACCATCCCCCGGCTCTCGATTGGTCAAGGTACCAACCCTTGGTGCTGGCAGAACACTCAGTGACTGGACACGTCCTGGACACGTCTCAAGAAAAGGTCGGCACCTGAAGCGGAGGCTTCTTGAAGCAGGGACACAAGAAAGATCAAGAAAGATAGATTCCATAGATAGATAGCTAGCTAGCTAGATCAGTATAGATAGGTAGATATGTAGATATATAAGATATTGTAAAGACATGTCATGATAAGGACCTGACGAACCTTCAGAAAACCACTATCAGTATGTGAAAACCGCTGGTTGGAGCCCTAGGGGATGGCGATGTTATACAGAGCAGTTCAAGAAACTGGGCAGTTTTGAGGATCCCTGTTGAGCTGAATGGATTGAGGATTATTCTTCATCAGTTCACTTGTTGGAGACGGATGGTGTCTTGATGGTGACTCAACTGAACGTGTCTTCTACATGTAGTCCTACACATATTCTTTCAATTTCCTTCAATTTTAGTCCTACACATATATTAATTCAATTTGACAAACAAATGACCTCGAATGACTATGACTCCTAGCTCGATCTGTTTGGTTTGTCCCTCGACCCACGAGGTGAGCAGCGACAAGAGGCGACAAACCTCGTGCTGGAAGAAGGGCCGGCGGGGCGACCCTGCGGCGTCGACCCGGGTCGGCCCGAGGGGCGGTGAAACCTGGTGACACCTGAGGACCAGTGGCATAAAGCCCAAAGGCGTCGGTTGAAGCTCAGGCTTCGGAATCGTGACACCTGAGCTTTAGAGGCAGAGTTTTGGCGATCTACGGATCTACCCAGTCAGTGGACAGTTCAATGGACAGCCTTTAGCCAATTTTGGGGATTGGTTTCCCCACCCATTAAACAACTAAGAACTAAGAACTGATTGAAAACGGTTGCCTTCATTTTTCATGGAAACAGCTTCGGGAGTCAGACACGGCGGTGTGGTGGGTTCGCTGTTCTTTTCCAGATCTTTGGTCAAACCGTGTGCAGTTTTGCGGGGTCTGAAGATCAAAACCGTCGTGGAAATGTTTTGATGAAGATGTAGCAGGAATGGCCGAAAACACCATCGTAGTTGATCGTTAACCCGTACAAAACCCATGTTTAACTTGTACATAACCGTACTAAACCCGTATTTTAATACTGGTTTGGAAATGATTGGGTTTGCTTCAGAAACGGAGAAACCCTAGGTTTTTCCATCGACCCTACAAATTTATAGGGTTTTGGTGCTTAGGGTATAGTTACACCCAGACCATCCGTGTATGGAATAGTTACCTACATTGGGATCATACATGGGTATATAAATGCATGTAACTATTCCATACATGTTTGGGAATGTTTGGGATATATACTATATAAAGAGTGTGTTGTGGGTGCGTAGAGTTGCTGCTGTTACAACTGAATGGTTCATGTCCTTGACTAATGCCTGTTTTCCAGCTTGTATGTCCACCTCAGTATGCACAGCTTCCCCCCGAATCTCACGGTCCTTTAGGATGGCTTTCTGACCATGTTTAATGGTCCGACTGGATCGACTGGTTCGAAATGAAGGTGGCTGGATATGAATGGATCCTACAGAATCTGGTGTTAAATAGCACTCGCACCAGTCAGTGGTACGTGGGTTACTTCTAGCAGGGTCTCTAGCCATTGGATCCTACTTCCCTTCTCCAGCTCAAGGGATTGGAAGTTACAGTCTGTTGGACTCTCTCTATGGATCCACTGCCACCTTCTGAGAGGGTGATGTGTTCAGCGACGGGTGAGGCGCCAGGGTCGGGTCGTGTCGAACCTGAGGTACGGTGGCAGTGGTATAGGGTCTACAGTCTACACTCCCTGGAAATATATAATGGAAGTGGATGGTATGGCCCCCGATCATTTTCCTCTATACAGACCGGTGGTTCTCCACTTCCATTCCAGGGAGTGTAGCAGCCACCATTCACCAACGCTCACCCATTTTGGGGCGCAACGCCGATCCGCAGTCGATCCGCGAGTTGAGGCCACGGATTGTCCAGGAGACCCTCCAATCCAATATGTGGAGCAGTGCCCCCCGGGTCCGCACCGGACCGGAGGGGAGTCCCCCCGGGTTCGGATCGACTGGAGCGGGGGCTGGAGCCGGTTCATGTCGGTGTGGCTGGCTGAAGTCACCGCGTGTCGCGCATGTGGCATGACGGTCACCATCGGCACAAGCTTTGGGTGTCCATGTTGGAGCTACAGCCAATTCCTGTGAAAACCGCTGTGGGATCGGAACACTGCAGTAGGATGGTTGACCCATGATCAGATTCTCTCCAGGTATCATTTGCTCGGTGGAGGTGGTGCTGCTCGCCCTGGCCACGACCACTGGGCTTTTTTACCAGTACTCCTTGGCCACCAAGAGGACTGCTACCACTGCTACTAGCCGACATGTTGTTTTGCTCCAGAAAAGATGTTTAAAAAAAAGCAACGGTGCCAAGTATTATGAGCCTCAATGATATGGGGTCACTTGCTTACCTATTTCGTGGCGCCAAGCGCTTGTGTGCCGTCATTGGCCCCGAGGTGGCTTCATGAAGCAGGGACCCAGTGTGAGAAGCAAGCAGGCAAAGGTTTTGTGGAACCATCACATCCAGTCCCCAGATCTTCACAAAGTTTGAGACTGACCTGTGTTGGTTGAAGCACCATAGAAGCTGAGTGACCTCTATTTGGAATCACCAACCACCCGACGCATGTGTTTTCCTATCAACAGAGAGGTCAAATGGGATAATATAATTGCTGCAAAGTAGATCGAACGCATCACCATGAAAGATGTATTGAACTCCGTTCCTGCTCTTCACCTGGACGATTCCGATAGCAACAGGAGAGGCCGAAAAGGGCTTGCCTTCGTGTTGAAGCACATGCCACTTGAAGAAGCACTGTGTGTTTGATGTCCCTACCTGCCACCCCCAAAAGTGATAACGATAGACTGCTTTTGGGTCCGTGAGCGTGTTATTGGGTATGTACCCTGTACCAGAAGGTCGGGATCTTTCTTAAATTGGGGTGGGTCAATTCGGAGAGGTCAGCGACTAAATCTTTTCATGAGAAAGGATCCCAAAGACAACATCTCTTCCTTCATGATGTTTATTTATTTGTTTGAAAGTGGTTAGTTAGGAGTATATAGAGGGATTATGCGGGATGCCCTGTGAGAGTTTGAAAAAGTAGTTTGTTGGGTAGGGTAGGGTTTTATAACGCAATTTATGTCTGATTTGCCAGGAGTGCTTGTGGGATTCTCGGCGATCTAGGGGATCTGCGAGGGTTAGACTGCAGCCATGCAGTTGATTGATACAGATAGGTAGTCATAGGTTTAAGTCCTACTTATGTCAGGGACCAGTTTATGAAGAATGGCATGAGGCAGGTGCCTGGGACCAATGAGACATTTGCAATGAAGAAAGTGCATATTGCAGAGTGCTTTTACCATGCCATGGACAAGATGATCCACAAGCTTGCGAGGTGCATGTGTGCAGCAAATGCCACACATAATACACACACCCACCAATTTGGCCCATAATGAGTTTCACTGAATGGACAATGCCAAAGCCATGAGCCAACAATGAGCCAGCATCAAACAGACGTGTTTGACAATACGTGTTTGATGAACAATAGGATCATGGGATGAGGGATTGACGCAATTAAAGGGGTTCATCAAATAGGGAGGGAGGGAAGGTGGTTAGTGCCAAGAATTTGCCCCAGCTGGGAGAGGGTTGTGCTCACGGCCAGAAGTTGATTCTTTAGGCGGTTATTTCTGTGGGGCGGACCAAGCGGTCGCTAACTGGATGACTTTGATCCACCGTTGACAGCCAACCCACTCCTGAGGTGGGACGGACCTGCATGTCTCCTTCTCACAGCAACACCTGCCAAATCGCCCACCCAGAGTATCTTCCGTTAGCACTAGGCCTAGGCATCGGGAAGGTCATTGATGGGACGGTGGTTGCGGTTGGAATCGGTTCCCCAAGCTATTTACCGTGGGACCCACTTTGCGACTTCATGGTGCCCAGCCTCTGGAGAGCTCAGTCGTGAGGTCTGCACCGGATCGTCCAGTCCGGTTTCACCTATCTTGTTCCCGAGGCTTTGCCCCTGCCTCGGGAACAACTCCAATAGGCCACGCAGTGAATTTGTGGTGCAGCTTTGTGGCGAGGCTTGAAGAACACCGACAGAATCTCCCAGATTTTTGGCAACTTTTCTGGAAACCACAACTGTATTAGGCTTGTTGTTTGTTTTTAAAGGGTGATCTTGATTTCCCCAAGGCTTAATCGTTTTGTGGGGGATTTGTGTTATTTCTTTCACGATTCCTGGACGGCAAACGTTCAAGTATTAAATTAGTACGAACTACGGGGAAATGCAGCATGTGATCTTCTTGGACCACTGGAACTGCAATGACCACTATGCTTGTTTGAGAGAAAACGGGTGTCATGGGAGAAGTTGACCAGTTGTCTCGTTGAATCGTTGTCGCTTTTGAATGGAACTTGGACTCGTTCGGGCGGACCAGGGCTGACAAAAAAGACGTGCTTGGACATCGTCAGGCCATCCCTCCACCCATGACTAAGTCAGACCATCTCTGAGGATCAGACCATATCAGACCATAGAGTCTCACGATGGGAACTTGGTGACCTGGGTGGTTTTTTGTATGTGTCCTATCACCCGTCTGTCATGGTCCCATGCGACACCCAGAACATCCCAGAACGGCTAATAGGGAGAACCTCCGTACGAACTCGTCCTAGCCATGACTGGGCTGCCAGGAATCTGAGATCGAAGGTCTCAGATTTCATGGACTCCTCGGCCGGGGATGAACTCTGAGGCTACCACGTTCAGGGTGGTTCTCTACTGTCTCTTTTGACCAGTGCACAATATGCAAAATGAATCATATCCCAAAGGAAAAAAACACTATAGATGTTCATTTCACCATGAAGACAACACTTTTCAGGCAGGTGAAAGATGGAGAAATCTCTTGAAACCCCTTGAAACCCTCCCACCATCTCCCACCACCTTCAGAACCATCTCCAACAGTCAGGGCAAGGAAGATCTCCGACGACTTCTCCAGCGAGTCGGAGTCCACAGGCGACCCGAAAAACGGTGATTGGCTGCATGAAACACGCCAGACTCCTCCCTTTTTGAGTGTCAAGAACGTCTCCACTAGTTCCAAAAAGAATTGTTCACCCCGGTTTTGTAGAATCCTTAGTAAAACGGTTGTTCGGTAAAGAGTAAAGACTATTAAATTCAATGGTGAGTGTGTCAGGCTAGACGGCGTCTGGGATTACTTTTTGCTGATCATCACGAGTTCGCGGCGAAGCAGCCTTGGAACATGGCAGGCTCTTCACGATCTTCCAGTTCCTCAGATGTCCTTTGAAAAGCGCGTCAGTCCGGATGCTCGAGCTGTGTTTGAGTGCTGGAGGACATGTACCCAACGACTTGTGCTGTGTTTGATTTTTTGGGGGGTTAATCCTTTAAGCAGGCACCCTCCTCCGTCTGGAGGGTTATTTAGGGGCATGAAAAAGGAGCTATGCAATGTATAGGGTCATATAGGATCATGTAGAATAGGGTCATGTATAGGGTCATATAGCGTCATGCAGTACATGGGACCTTGTTTGTATTCCAAAGTAGTCCTATAGGGGTCAAACTTTGCAGAGTCCATGGCGTTTGGAAGATACCATATCAGTCACATCAGGAACATCAGACAGTCAACAGGATGAATTTCCTTGGATCAGACAGCTCTGTCCCGCATTGTCAAGTGAGGCAGCTTGGTGTGGCAGTGGGTCATGGCACCGGGGAGTGTCACCTGGTCTAGCTCCAAGTTTTGACACATCCCGTCCCCATATGGGTGTGAATTTTAATGCGGACATGTTCTTCCAGGGGGTCATTGGAGTGTTTGGGGATGGATATGATTTCCTGGACCCAGCCGCTCAGAGTTGCCCTGAAGCACTTGATTGATGTGAGCCACTCGGTGCGTCGAACGATCTCGCCAGCGTTGGTCCGACCGAGGTGCGCTGGAAGGACTGGGCTTTTGGTGACTGAGAATGCCAAAGTGCAGTCTACGGTCAAGAGAAGATATTGGGTGTGGGTCAAGACATGTCAAGGGCCAAATCACCTCAAATCAAGGTGTTTTGCTTCACAATGTGAAGTATCTACAGTAGTCGTTTGGTTCATTTTGCGGGATCATTCAGGTTCTCCAGGTTTTGACCCACTGCCATATTATGGGGCAATTCCATTGCCTGACGTTCAGCTTCTGTAAAGAAAGATATGCCGCTTCGACCACTATATCAAGATAATTCTCATGTGTGCCGTTTGACAGCATGTCCTGCACTCCAAGAACATAAACGCCGTCTCAGTGATCGGATTTTCCCATTGCAGGTGGTTTCATATCTTCTGGAAGACTACTTAATACATCATTAATACATTGGAATATATATATATTGTATTGTTTTATATTCTATTATATTATATTACATTATATTCCATTATATATTGTATGGTGGCTCAAGATGACTCAAGTCAGATGCAGGAATACCCGACTTAGTCTCACGAGCTGCTTGAGATGGAGACATGGGGGAAGAAGAGCAGGCTGCATTTGGTGAAGTTGCTTCTTTTCATGATCCTCCTGACTGCGAAAGATGAGAATCACGGCTGCACTGTCCGAATATTTCATGCTGGTCATGTTATGTTTAATATCGCATGTCCTTCTCACCATAAGTCAACCCTTGAATACCATACTCAGGGAAGACGGAATCGACCCCATTGCATCATTGAAGACTATTCTCTCGACCAGCAAGTCATTGGTATTTTTGTTACAACACCTGCTATGGAGGGTTCAAGGATTCTTAGGTATTCTGGATGGGCATGTTCCATTCCATTTCAGGCTGTGGATTCTGGAAGGACAAGAGTGGATCGCTGAAGTGATGTGTTCCATGTACCCTCCCTGCTTGCAACAATCATGGAAATGGACAACCCCCTCTTGTTAGAGGACAATAGTCTTCCAAGGGGCCACTGTCCACTTCCATGTTAGTTCCAGGAAGTGTACCATCTTGTACCTGGTTCTTCAGTTCGTGACCAGTCGCTTGATTCCCTGCCGTCCTTCGGTCACGAACCCGTGGTGAAGAAGACCGAAGTCGACAGGACGCGACGGCGCCGACTGGACGGTGGTTCGGTCACGGCGCACGGTGGACGGAACTGGAACATTGGCCATTCAGTGGCAAGGAAGACTGCCATTCCAACTGAGAGGCCAACTGTTTGGCCCACTAAGTTGGAGGAGCTCCTCCAGTGTCATTCACTGCAGTGGAGGAGCGACTCGTCGGTTTTTGACTCGTCGAAGCAGACGGTTTTCGCTCACGAACACGACGAGTTCTTCGTAGGCATCGTTTTTTTCCGGACTCGTTTTTTCAACCCTCAGCCAGGCTTTGTTGTCTTTCAGACTGGCTCGTTGACACCCTAATTAGGAATGAAAGGGAACCCGAGGGAACCCTTAAAGAGAATACATAAAAACCACATCTCCACACCTGACTGAGGGTGTGCTTGGAGTGACTTTGTGTGGGCGCCGTCCAGGAGGGTCCAGTCGTACCACCTGAGAAGGTGGCAGTGGATTCCTATTAGGGTATATATATATCTTACACTGAAACATTGCGTGCACCTGGACAGCCGTAGCGAACAGCTTTTCTACTCAGAATCTGCAATGCAAAAACCATCAAAAACCCAGCTTGTGGATTCGTCGTTTCTCTTTTTAACCAAGGAAGACACACACTGAGAATGGTTGGCGAATGCATGCTGGACGAAAGATCCCTTGGAATCTCTTCAGTCCAAAGGCACCTCCTCTCGCGTCTTCTTAGTGCAACTCCCCGCACCGGTCCGTCGACCGGCGGCGAGATGTAGAGAAGATTCCCTACAAAATAGTATCACGAGTGGAGTCACAAGACGGGGTGTTTTGAGTCACTTTAAGTGAGTGGATGTTCTGGGCACCCCTATCCTCCAATGGGCACCCCTTTCCTTTGTGACTGCTGTGTGATCTCTGTAAGAGTCTCTCTTTGTGACCTCTTTAGGGACTTAAGTGACCTCGTTCCAGGATCTCCAAGACGGTCACTTTGAAGGTTCATTCACCAACAAAAACATGTGCAAAGGTGTACTCTGAGGGATTGAGCGCCGGCCATCCGGCCATCCAGAAACTCCGCCACCATCGGCCTGCGGCTTTCTCGAGGTCACGTGCCACAGGTCTTTGCCCAATCGGTTGATCCCGAAAAGAGGGATGGAGAATGAGAGTACAACAGCTTTTTTTGAGGAATCAGAGGAGCTTGTGAGTTCGTACCCCAAAGCTATATATATAATTAATATATATATATATATATATGCCTACATACCCCTGAAAATTCCATCCGAATTGGCTGAAAAGAGGTGCGACCGGGTCGGCATGTACCGTATTTCAGTCCTGAGTCCCAGGTCGTGGACATGGGCGCACAATGACATGTTCGCAGCACACCTCCACACACCTTCGGCCGCAAGAACTCTGGGGTTGTTGAAGAGTGAAGGATGAGATTCCTAGAACTGGTGCGAACTGTTCCCTTGATGTTCCCTCCGGGGGTGGAAACTCCAGCGACAGAGGTTTGAAGCAAATCTCCGTTGATGTTGAGATCTCCTTTTGAATCCTATTGAATACCATGCGGCAGTGACTTACCTTGACCGGAAGTCGAAATGGACGTGGGAAAAAAACTTCTCAGTGTGTGGCAACAAGGAGTGCATAATGCAGCCCCACGCCTTGGCTCGGGCGAGCAGAGTTTATTTCAACAGCAGGCTAATATATATTATATATATATAGATTCTAGATGAACTGAAAGCTGTTTCAACTTGTTTGTGTGTATACAGCTCGCGAGACGAGACGTGTGCACATCTTGACACTTATTCTGAGGCCACACTCCCCACCTGTTCTCGGCGGTGCCATGTGCCGGCCAGGTGCCATTTCGAGCGACCTTGGTTCCAAACCATCAGCATCCTCAGATGCTTATGAGCACTGGAGATTTCGAGATCCATCATCTCACGCTGAGCCATCATGGAAAGGTCGCTTGGGCGATCGATGGAGCTGTGGAGCTGGTTTCCTCATGTTGCCGTGGGAAGCATGTTCTGCATGTGATTTTGCCAATAGATGATTGTAAAATCAGATGTTTAATAACTATACGTAACTATGTCACACTCGCCTCTCCAGTCATTATTCTATTTATATCCAGTCTAGTTATGTTAATCAAATGTTTATTTTAATGTGTGTTTCCTGTGCTTCGATCGTAGCACAAACTCACTGCGTCCAATCAGCCAGTTGTGACATTGTGAATTTGCAAAGCACGTAACTTGAGCGTCCACAGCCAAGCACGTCATAGAACAATCTGCAAGTGTTCACAGCCAAGCGGTTTTTCAGGTCTTCCAGGGTCTCTGGGGTCAAAAGGTATGGCCCTTCCATTCCTATAATGAGATTCATTTTAAAATAAGACGTGCCAGTCAACCAGGCATCGTTTTCGTATTTTCACAGATCCATTTGACACTTGGAGGTGAAGTTTCTGGAGGGTCAGTCGATTGGCGTCCTTCCGACGGTCACCGCCTCGCCGAACGCCGCCTTGGCCCTGGTGCGCTTGTACCCGATCGCCTCATCTCGAGCCTTGGAGAACGATGGTGAATGTACAAATGGTCCTTTTTCACACCACTGGGGAAGATGTTTATGTCGATACATCCTTTGCTAAGGGGGTTTTCTGAATTGCTTCCTATACATTGCCTGAAGCGAAATCCAAGGAGCTGGTGATGACCAGAGGTCCAAGACCTTCTCCCTGTGCGTGAAGCGAGTGCTGGCCGCGAAGCGAAGCGCGGATGGAGTGATGACTCGAGAGGACGAGTGTCCTGGTGTTTGGGCGGTTTTCGGGTGATGTCATATCTTTCCAGTTATTTTCCCGGTTCCGGGGTGAATCAATGGGTTAGTAGCCTGGGAAGAGGTGTGACTTTTGTTCCAAACGTTTTATTTGTCTTTTGTTTCAAAACAAAACGTTTTTCTGGATTCCGAAGAAGCCAATCCAAGGTATCAAGCTTCATGTTCCAACTACCTTTGCTCATTAAAGCTCGGTGACAAGGTCACCATCACAGGCGACGAGTTTTCGACCGGTCTAGGGGTGTTTAACCACCGGTAGAAAGAGAGCGGGTGTGCGGAACGAGAACACTGAATTGTGCTCTCTCCAAGCTTCTTAAATAGTTTGCATGTGTTTGTGCAGGAGCACACACTAGCTCAAAACCTTGGGGAGCACCCGTTCTGTTTCGAAGAGGCACCATCATGCTTCGATGATTTCGATGTCCGCAATTCTTGGATCTCCCTGGTCTTTCTCTCCTTGATGTGGTTTTTCTCTGGAACCAAAGAGCCATGGAATTAGGGAATGCTGTACTTTGGATGACTTTGGATGCTTGGTACTCCCATTGACGCGGTTTGAGCAATCTGGTAGGCCCCATGGGGAGAGAGCTTCTCCTACCCGAAGATCTTCGTGGGCACACCTTGATCTTCGTTGCTCGCGACCTCGGCCTGGCACCCGTTCGCGCGCATCTTCGTCGGCTCCTCCACGATCGGAAGGAGCAAGGCAGCTTCGATGGAGCGATACGGGTCGTTTTCGCAGGGCATGAGATGTATGAGGATGAGACACCTGGATGAACTGAACATGTTTCGGATATTAGTTCTGAAAGAACCGATCCATGCACTCTGCCCCAGGCCTAGGACTTAATAAAGCAAACTGCCGTCCAAAGAAAACATTAGCTTACAAACTTTCAGTTTACATCCGGACTGCTGCAGGTCCATGATTCTTGGAGCCTGACTGCAATGCCACGAGAAGCACATCTCATCTCACTGAAGTCCAAGGAAGACCCTACCCGGGAAGCCGATAACCAGAAAAGCATAGACCATCATAGACCATCGAAAAGCCTTTTTTGGATAGGTGGAAAGTTCGGTGCTCTATTTTTCCAGGGAGCTTCTGCTTGGGAGTCAGCCAAAACCAGTACGGTACTGGTGCCAGTTCAGCACCTGAGTTCCACATCCGACTTTCTCAGCAGAAAACGTTTGATGATAGCCTTCAGATTGCTGCAGCATGATCAGGTGAGCTCTGATCATTTTGTGGGCTGCCAGCAAGTTTGTTGGGATGCTGATGGCCTTAAACATGTCTGCCAAATCTTTGAGCTACGACTGATCAGTGTGATAAGATTTGGGGGGTTTTAGATGGTTTTAGTCTATATTTTTTGTTTACCCCTTCCCTTGCAAAAACCTAGAGTCTAAACTACATTTCTGAATCCTGTGTCCACTCACTATGAGCTATGTATCCAGCTATATATGTCATTGTACTTTTTGTTTATTTCTTGCCAAAAGCAGAGTCTGAGAGATTTACTTTCCCCGAGAGTTCGAGTCTAATTTCAAGCGCATAGTAATTTTCTTAAAACACTTGCCAACTGCGCAGCATTTGTTCGAGCAATATATAATCACAACAGAATAACACGGTGGTAAAGCTTCAACTAATCAACATGCTCGTGTGTGTAGTACGTCGTTTTTTCCGTCAGAACTTTTGCTTAGATGGGGATTTAGATGAGGGCGGATTGTGAGAGGATTTAAGCCAAGAGTTCTGCGTTTATGCACGGCCGGATTGTTCTCCCCAAGGATGAATGCATACGAGTCCTCCTACCCCAAGAACTTCCGATATTCGTCCGTCGATGATCTGGTGGAGCTACGGAATCAGCTGCTCAAGGACGGCGAGGAGCTTTGGAATTTGCTTCAGAAGCCAAGCACACATCTCCTGATCTCAGGCAAGGTTTGCATCGGGTGAGAGTATACAGCCACCAAAAGAATTCATTCATTGGGCAGAACCCGTTACGCGCGAAACACAATGACACAGACACATGCGCTTTTGTGGCCATGAAGGTGCTTTTAGACACTTCGGTTTTAAATGTTAACATGTCGATTTTGGGATACTGTATGTTTGCTATCCCTACAGGTCAATGTCCTCATGTTACAGGAGTTGGTCATTAAACACCAAAGGAGGTTTTCAGGACCGGGCTAGTTCTACTGGGGCAGACTGCAGTTGTAGGCTATGAAGTTTCTTGAGTCATATCCCCTCTCCGTGCTTTGCTTTCAGGCGGCAGAGACTTGGATGCGATGATGGCAGATTCTCAGCAAAAAAGAAGGCGGCCAAACGTTCTCAGGGATGTGTGTCTATTTTTAATAGAGAGGTTCCCTGGCCCTGGCTGGGCCGGCTATTTTCCGAACCTTGGATGTCGGAACGCCTTGGGGGTCTCCCTATTTGAGCTACACACCCACATCAAACAACAGAACAGCAGCTTCCAAGGTAAACCTATAGGTTCGCCATGGTTCTCCTCAACAAGTTGGGTGACATCCACTTCAAGGATTGCAGGGAGTATAAGAACTATTGGTTCCAGTGTACAGCAGAATGAGTACAAGTGCTGTACCTGTTTTTACAAGGGTCATGTCACATGTTCTATTTTCTAGAGTACTTTTGAGGATCGTAGTGCCAATCTTGACTCTTTCAACTTCCAGTACTCAACTCCCAGGTCCAGGTCCAGTCTTCTACCTGGTCCTGAAAAACCGCATCTCGAGTAGTCTAGATGATTGTGACCAACTCCCAGTATTTCTGACCCGGTTTAAGAGTTCAATGAACTGCCTTCCCTATTTCGCTGGCTTGCTGAAGCCCCACGGACACGGACACCGCCGCTGGCATCCCAGAAGTGGTGTTAAGGGAACATGTATAAGGACATCCACTAAATATGGTCCTGGGGGGGTGAAAACCATGACCAGGAAGAACATCTACTGTATATTATGTGAGACTATCCCCGGTGAGTGATTTTGTCACATCCATTCGGTCTCCGTTTTGGAAGGACCTCTCGACCGTCTCCCTCGATCGAACCATCTCGGTGGATGACCTGAGCCTTGGGAGACGGTTAGTGCATTCACCCGAAGTCTCTTTCCTGGATCCACAGACCGAAATCTCTGGGATGGCTGTGTGATGGTGTGTGGAGACCGGAGACCTTTATAATTTATAACTGTGGAGGTGACATTTTCCTTGTTGGGAAGAGATGTGGATTTGTAGAGTTTGGCAAATCTTGACACTTTCGTTCGAGATGTTCGTTCAGCAACCGTGGGAGTTTGTCGAAGTTCCCTATGTTCAATTCAAAACGCGTTGAACGCCTACAGATGCCTACAGAAAGGATATGAAAGGATGTTCCAACAGGGGTGTTTTTTATTAATTTATGCTTATGGAGGGTAGTAGGCATTTTCATTATCCACTCATTTGGGATCCTAAAAAGCAAAAAACACCTTTGAAACTCTTTGGGTAAATATGTTGTTACCCTAAAAATTACAAACCTTTCTGGGTGCGTCGCTCCGTGTCCTTTCGGTTTTGTGTGCCGTCGCAGCCCAGGAGGTCTTTCAGTCGGCGAATGAAACGGGTTGGTTCCAGGTGCGACGGCGCATGCAACGGGAGCAGCGCTACCACTGGGAGGGCGGAGGTTGAAGGCGGGTGTTCATCAGTCCAAGCCGCTCGACCTTCGGCGAGTACAAGTGAGCGAAGATGAGGGGTCGACCAGCGGGCGATCAAGCAAATCAGGGCAGCGAAGTCGGATGGCAATGCGGCAACAGTTGGTGCCTTTGCTTTAAAAGAGTAGCACTTGCTCGTTCCGGGGCGCAAGAGAGCGATTTGCAGGTCCATCCAGGGCGGAATGGGGTGTGTTCCAGTCTCGAGTTCGTCTTCCACATGTGCTGGCCTCACCAGCGGGTCATAGCACCTGAGCAGATGCCCTTTGGCCGCCTCACTGGACATCACTGGGCTGGATTTGTTGCTTTCTTTACTTCATGATGCGTGAGCTTTACTGGGAGGCTGAGGACTGAACCTGAAGTCACTGCTTCGCTGCATGGTGTGCGTTCGGAAGTCATGACTTCCCTACCCTGCCCATGTGAAAACGTGGCTGCCAGCCAGGTGACAGCGGGAAAACGTCTTGGCACATGAGACGCATGAGAGGCATGAGACGCTTTAGAAACATCATTCGGGGCGCCCAAAACAAATCATGTCACGACGTGATCACGGCCATGTCGTGGCCATTTCACGGTCATTTCGAGAATCACCCAACGGACCGCGGCAAATGCCAGGGTATTTGTGCATGTTGTGTTTTTGTCCACGTTTGAGGGATGGACCATGGGATACCATGGGTAACAGGCCACTGGTTGGAGCTTTGTTGGCTCATGTTGGCTCAATAGAGGGAGCGGTCGGCCCGGCGACGCCGACCGCGGATCAGAAGCGGCCCAACATGGTTCATGGTATGAGAAGATCCGAAATATGTTTTTGTCATGTAATGATTTTGCAGTTTGCAAGAGCATCGGATCATGATCGGGTTATCATTGCAGCCAGTGACACTTTCTTGACATACTGACTCCTCCATAGCAATCACCGCAGCGCTATCACCATGAATGTTGAAGCCTGGTTCCGGCAACTTCCGCCAGATGAGCGGAGGCCTTAGGTCTTTGCAGGGGTGGGTAGGATGCTTTAGTGTATTTGTTTCCTTGTATTCGAAGAATTTCGAAGAATGTCATTGTTGTCATAGGTCTACATAGCAGGATTTTGCAGGATGATCCTCTCGACAGCGCATCGTCAGAAACACATGAAAGCGGCCTTACCGGTCTGGTGGGGTCTGGTGGGTTGCAACTGTCCCTGACAGTCTGTCCGGTTCCACCCCTTTAGCACCCCAAGGGAGTCGGTGGGCAAAGCGTACATCCAGCGATCCGTGCGAGAAAGGGATCCGAACATCCAAAGAAAGGGCCTCCACCCTGCAGCACCTTCATGTGGAGAAGTTCTCAAGGGTTAGTCGGCTGTTCAAGTGGTTCATGGTTTTTGTCGGCTGTTCAAGGAGTAAGACTCTCAGTTTGCCACCTCTATTCATAGTTGTTCCTGTGGAGTTGATCTCAAGGTCTAAGGAACAACATCAGCTCCATAAGATAAAGTAACTCCTGAACATTTAACTAACCAGAATATACCAGAATTCTCAGCATTCAGGATAAAGGTATGTAAAGGTTAAACCACGTCTCACGACTACATATTTATTGTTATCTAAAAAGTTATTTTCAGTGTATAATATATATATATACATACACACCTAGAACCTCCAAGCACCTCAGAAGATGGGTACAAGTATTTATTGTTTGTTCGGGTGAAGTCCCATTGTCTAGGGTACTGTACAAACTGCAGGGTCCAGGTACATACATACATACATCATACATACTCCATGGCCAGAATGCATGGCACTGGTTTTAAAGTGCGCTATCAACCTGACCAACAACAATGAGGCCCTCACCACCCCTTCCATCACCACCAAACATATTTGCATGCTTACATGCTTACATACATTCAAACACACGCATACATACGTACATGCATACATGGATACATGCAAACATACATGCATGCATGCATACATACATACATACATAAATAGACATGCATACATACAAATACATATACATATACACTATCCGGGGAGTACATGGCACAATGTTTTCTATATATAGATGGCCCCCCGGCTCGCTGGACATGGATGCTCCCATGTTTGGAAGATGGCTCAATTGGTAGGTTATTTCACCATGCAAGGCTAAAATTCCATTAGGTCTAGTAAAAAATGCGCCATCTACTCTCACCTCCTTTTTTCATGAATTTTCAGTCGATCGGAGTCTGTACGGGAAACATGTGCATTTATGCGTTGTTTGCATAATAGATGGCGCGTCAGCAGAAAAAGGTACTATTTTGAGGGCCAAGTACTGTCAAAGTAGAGTACATATTATATACATACACACATACATGCATGCATGCATGCATACATACTTACAGACAGACAGACACAGACAGACACCACTCTGACAATTGTATTCAGTTAACTCAGTTCCCAAGTCAAAAGGAATGAGGGAAACGCAAGGTGACAGGGTCAGCGTAAACTGAAATGTTGAACAAATTGTTCTCTTGTCTGCAGAAGCGCGGCTGAACGTCGGCGGCTGAAGGCAGCGGTGGAAAACTGGTTTGGGGGAGGTATCGTGGAACCACCATGGAAGCAAACAAAGGAGATTGGAACAGCGTGGGCAAAAGTTCAAAACTGTCGCAGGTACGTGAGTCGAGCGTCCTCGACTCATATCACAGGAAACGTGCAGCGTCTTCGTTGGTCGCTGACTGCACGAATCCCCAGCGACCCCCTGCTTTGGAAAAAGTTGGTGACGGTAACGATGGCAGTGAACCCTTTGGCACAGGGGGTGACACACACACGGTGCCGCTTCGCGGCGCGCATGTGAAAAACCTAAATAGTCACCTAAAAAGCCTTAGAAACAAAAGAAAAGAAAGACAGAAAGAGCAGCGCTAAGAGGGCAAGAAAGAAAGATAGGTGTAGGAAAAATGAATACTTAGCCCTTGACTGGGGTAGGGAAACGAGCCTCAAGAACAACCTAAAAAGCCTGAGAGAAAGCCCAAAAAAACGACCGAAAGCGTAAGAAGGAAAGCGGGGGGCAGGGAAGTGTATGTACATGTGTGTGTATGAATACTTAGCCCTCTAGAATTACTGATTACTTAGCAGAAATGAATTGCGTGCAATAGCTAGGGAGCGGGACTTTAGTCTTAGACCGCCCGGGTAGGAAAGACTAGAAAAGGAACAACACAGGGACAGGCACCGACACACAAGTGTGTCGAGTACCATTTCCCTATGTTGCCCTAATTAGGTAGGGAGTTGAACTCAGCTGGGGGGGGGTTGGGAAACCTGCCTCATTGGGGGGTTTTAGCACCGCACCGTTTTATAGCCCGGCGGCTGACTAAGTAATCCCGTTTTTTTGGCCCGGCGGCCGTTGTGGCAGTTAATTCGGTGGTTGTGGCGGTGACTTCCAGTGGAATTCCTGTGAAAAGTGGTGAGGTCAGTTAATGCTTGCACGATGAGACAGCGCCCCAATGACGGGGATCACACTCAGCACCCGAGTGGGACGGCTGAGCGAAACACACTCTGACAATTGTATTCAGTTAACTCAGTTCCCAAGTCAAAAGGAATGAGGGAAACGCAAGGTGACAGGGTCAGCGTAAACTGAAATGTTGAACAAATTGTTCTCTTGTCTGCAGAAGCGCGGCTGAACGTCGGCGGCTGAAGGCAGCGGTGGAAAACTGGTTTGGGGGAGGTATCGTGGAACCACCATGGAAGCAAACAAAGGAGATTGGAACAGCGTGGGCAAAAGTTCAAAACTGTCGCAGGTACGTGAGCCGAGCGTCCTCGACTCATATCACAGGAAACGTGCAGCGTCTTCGTTGGTCGCTGACTGCACGAATCCCCAGCGACCCCCTGCTTTGGAAAAAGTTGGTGACGGTAACGATGGCAGTGAACCCTTTGGCACCGGGGGTGACACACACACAGACACAGACACACACACACACATACACACACATACACACATGCACATGCACATACACATAAACATATACACACATACATATACACATACACATACACATACACGTACACACATACACATACACGTACACATACGCATTTATATACATACATACATACATACAAACATACATACATACATACGTACATACATACATACATACATACACACACATACATACATACATACACACACATACATACACATATCTACACATACACACACATACACACACACACATGCACATGCACATATACACACATACATATACACATACACGTACACACATACACGTACACACATACACATACACCTACACATACACATACGCATTTTCATACATACATACATACATACACACATACACATACATACATACATACATACATAAATACATACATACATACACACATACACACATACATACACATATATATATATACACACACATACACACACATACACACACACACATGCACATACACATACACATATACACACATACATATACACATACACATACACATACACATATACATACATACATACATACATACATACATACATACATACATACATGCATGCGGCCCGACTCGACGACTCGATGCCTTCCGTGCAACGAGGTTTCAACCGTTCGAGACGCAGCTCCGGGAGGCAGACGGCACAGTGTGGGAAAACGAACAAATCAAAGCCATTGTCAGTGAGGTACTGCACGCATGAGTACTGATGCACTATACTCTGTAGGCGTGCTATAGCTGCTATACCATGCTATACCGTTCTTTAAAGTGTCGGAACTGCTGCAACTCCCCAGTAGAGTTCACATGCTTTGCCATTGGTCCCACGAAACCCTGATTTGAGGCCGCTCCAAGGTCGCGTCTTGGGTTGTGCAATTTTTGCAGATAGACCCGAGTCCGCGCCCGAGTCCCCTTCTAAGTTCCGTGCTGGGGTAGCTCTGAAGAGTTTGCAGGCCTTGATCGGCGTCGCGGCGAAGGCACAGGATTTCAAGCTTCCAGGGGGCCGCTTCCCGCGCCTTGGATGTAAGAATGGTGCCCGACTTCATCGGGCGAAGCAGCAACAGCTTTGCTGTTGATTTGGGGTGGCCCTGGTGGGAAGATGAGGACTTCTCAACGAATGAGGTCAAATTCGTATGTCCGTGGTTGGGAGGGTGGCCGGGGGTAGCCAGAGAGCCCCTGCAGTTGTTGTTCGACACATCATACTGAGTGATACATGTCCAATGGTGCACCCTTGACCGTATCCAAAAACCCATCTTCACATGAAACTAATTGGACCTTCCAGGTCCTTCCGGCCGGAAACTGTACCAAAAGGCTGTACCAAAAGGTCCGGTTTTGTTTCGGGTGATTTCTCTTTTCGCGAGACTGGGTGACTTCTCCTTCGGATGATCTGTCGGTTGGTTCGCTTGGCGGCTTCCGAACCAGCCCCCTGGACCGATGATCGCACCTGAAGAGCCCAGTGGTCCAGTGGTCTTGTTGCTGCGTAGGGCAGTAGTCCCGAAAAGGCCAGGATCTGACCTCATGAAATACTGGAGTTGGTCATGAA